ACAGAAGGCTTAGAGTTATCATAACATAGTCGTAGGACACGTCTTTTATAAGGAATTCAAATGTAAACACTAATGAACAAATATCCCGAGCGTCAAAAGGAGACATGCTGGGGAAAATATAAACGACACGAAAGACAAACATTTCGCGGATGTCGCCAAATCGCCAAAAAATCCCGTTGGAAATCGATCACCATCAATCAAGTTTTTATTGCTTGTATCTGACAGGCTTCTCTGAGGGCGACAGAAACACACACACACACACACACACACACACACACACACACACACACACACACACACACACACACACACACACACATTTCGGTGTGTGATATCATTAGCGGCATATGCTAGATAGGCCAAAATAAGAACTGCCTTTAGAAACTTTTGTAAACAATCGTTCAGGACCCTGTATACCAACTATATCAGATCAATCCTGGAGTATGCAGCTCCAACTTGGAGTCCATACCTAGTTAAACACAAGACAAAGTTAGAGAAGATTCAGAGGTATGCCACCAGATTCGTCCCAGAAATGAGAGTTATGAGCTACGAGGAAAGGCTAAGGGAGCAGAATCTCACATCCCTGGGAAAACAGAAGAGTAAGGGGAGACATGATAACCACCTACAAAATTCTCAGGGAAATTGAGAGGGTTGACAAATACAAACTCTTTAGCATGGGTGGAACACGAACAAGGGGACACATGAAGAAACTTAGTACCCAGATGAGCCACAGAGACATTAGAAAAAAAACAATCAGTGTCAGAGTAGTTAGCAAATTGAATGCATTAAACAGTAATGTGGTGGAGGCACACTCCATACACAGTTTCAAATGTAGATTTGATGGAGCCCAGTAGGCACAGGAATCTGTTCACCATTTGATCGACAGTTGAAAGGCGGGATCAAAGAGCCAAAGCTCAATCCCTGCAAGCACAACTAGGTGAGTATACGCACACACACACACATACACACACACACACACACACACACACACACACACACACACACACACACACACACACACACACACACATGCACACACACTTCCTCTGGCATGCCGCTACGCCCCAAAAAATTACCACTAATATCTTGAAAAGAAACCAGCTTTTGTTTTAGTTGTGAAAGGAGTTGCTGGGTGTTGAAAAGGGGACAGAGGAGGGGTTGAGGGTGGTGAAAAGGGGCTGGCAGGAAAAGAGGAGAAGCTAACGTAGCGATGCGCCATAGGGGTAGTGAGGTGTCTAGAAGAGACGTGTAGGACAGAATGTGGGGTGAGGAAGAGAGAGAGAGGAAGGGTGACAGGTTTAGGGAAAGGGTGTTACTTACCTAATGATCCTGTCTACTCAATTGCACCCTTCCTAACAACAGATTCGCTCAAATGATCCCCCTTGTCACCCCCACTCCTGCCTCATATCTCTCCTACAACCAAGTACCCGTCCTCACACCCTTGCTTCCCTCCTTATCCTCCCATCCACCTCCATACCTCATAATCTTCCACCTCCTCCTACAGATTTGTTCCTATCGTCACAACCTCTGTTCTTCCCTTCCTCACACACCTCCTGAACCCCATAACTCCATCTCATAAACTCTTCTTTACCCTGCCAAATGTACAATTCCCTTTCTTTCTGTCTCTCACTTTTTCCATCCGCCTGAATACCTACACCGTTAACCTCTGTTTTCATAAACTAACACCTTATCCCTATCTATCTTTCTCTCTCCATTTCTGCATCCTTCTCTCTCCATTTCTGCATCCAACCACCTTATCAACCCTCCCTACCTCATTCTTCCCATATTCAACTCATAACTCTTACCTCCAAAGTCTTTCTCAAATTCCTTGCTCGTCTTCTCCTCCTCATCCCTCATCCTGTGCTCATAACCCCCTCCTAGCTTCCTCATAGTCCTCTCCAGAGCCTCACGACCCACAAAGCCAAGATAACTCCTTTGATTTGAGATAAACCAATAAGACTCCCATTACAAATATGTTTCCTGTTTTCTTGTACGTCTTATCGAATTTCCAGCTTCTCTCATCTTGTCTTACCTCGTTTAGGACTGGCTGGTTGATTGATTGGTTCAGAGAGAGAGAGAGAGAGAGAGAGAGAGAGAGAGAGAGAGAGAGAGAGAGAGAGAGAGAGAGAGAGAGAGAGAGAGAGAGAGAGAGAGAGAGAGAGAGAGAGAGAGGGGGGGGGTGGGTCTGAAAATATGGCTTGTTGAGATTCACTGAGGTACTTCTGTTATCCCTTTTTGTTTATTTCCCTCTTCTACTGGTCCATATTCACTACTGGATGGAGTTTCTGGCGGTTCCCGGGTCTAGCTCCCCTATTCCCTCCTATCTTATCCTTCTGTTCCTTCCCCTTTCCCCAGCCCTCTCCATCTTTCTGACCTTCTCCTCCCTCTCCTCCAATATGTTCCCCTCACCCCAATATTTCCCCATCTTTTCTCCTCTCTTCCACTCTCCTTTCTTGCCTCCCAATCTCACCCACTCTCATTCCTCCTCCTCCCTTTTTGCCTCCTCCCCCCTCTCCCTCTTGCCTCTCCTGTCTCTCTCTCTCTCTCTCTCTCTCTCTCTCTATCTCTCTCAGATAATTTAATAATATGGATATTTATTTTATTGACATACACTGGAACATCTTTATTTATGCAGCTGCTCTCGACTATATGAACGCGTTCATATTGGCGAGAACATTTATGTTACAGTAAAAAAAATCCACCATCTCACAGGGTTATTAGTCCGACTGGGACATGTGATCATTACCTTGCACTCACTATTTTTTTTTTATTAATACATGAGGTACATCTGCATTAGTGCAGCTACCCTAGACTATATGAAGTGGAACACAGTGTGTCAAAAAAGCTAACTAAGTGATGCTAAAAAAAAAACATCACACAGGATGGTTAGTCATACAGAGGCATGTGATGGGCAGTCTGCACTGGCAGACTCCAGAAGCATTTTGAGGATATCATCAACACAAGATTGAATAAGGTAGCAGTGGTAATAAAAGTCCCCATCCCGCAGGATGGTTTGTCATGCAGGGCCATGTTTAGTAGCCTGCACTGCCAAATTTTGGGTACACTGAGGATCAACTCTACAGAAAATAAATCCAAGATTTCAAGTTTCGTGAAAATCTCAGGGAAGGTCGCTATAGATGCCGATATTTCATAAATAGGGGTGTCGGAGGCAACCACATCTGGCCTAAGACATTTCCATACCCCCCCCCCCCCCTACCCCCACGTGTCATCTTCGAAAGTTGGGTGAGAGTAACTCTAAGCGTCTGGCCTCCGTCCTCAATAGATATAGAGTTTCAAGTCCATGTCTTATCCGGGTTTATTTCTCCTATCATTTTGGTCTATAATACTTATTCCTATGTTCTATGCCTCTATTTTGACTGATCCATCTCCCCATTCTCCTGATCCATGTTCCCAATTTCCCTGTTCTATGGCCTTATTTTTTTCAATGGTCCATATCCCTAGTCTGGGTTCATTTCAAGTTACCTGGAAACATTGACATGAAAGCGTTTAGTTTTTTATAGAGTACAGTTTTCTAGGGGTGTCCTGCCTTCCCCCTTAGTCACTAGGGGGTGAACTGCCCACCTTGGTCTCTTGGAGATTACTTACTGCCCTCATTTGGGCTACAGAGGTGTGCTACCCTTTTCGTTTTCTAAGGGGTGCCCTGCTCCCTTTGGTCTCTAGGGAAGTTATACCACCCTCCTTTAGTCTCTATTGATGTCATTCTCCCCTTTGCACCGATTTCATCGCCTAATGTCCTAAACCCCCTACCCCTACCCCTTTGATCCCTTAACCCCTTGGCTGGGATTCAAGGGGTTAAGTAGCTACCATTTATCTTGTGACCAGCGGACGGCACGACAATCACGTCAATGAAGAATAACGCCGATCATCCACCTTCAATATGTGCTTAATAGTGCTATTCACGGTCCACCTTTGATCAGTACCACCTCTGCCTCCCCCCCCCCCCTCTCTCTCTCTCTCTCTCTCTCTCTCTCTCTCTCTCTCTCTCTCTCTCTCTCTCTCTCTCTCTCTCTCTCTCTCGGATTGTTGAGAGAGAAGAGTGTGTGTGTGAGAGATCTGGTGTTAGTGAGAGCTTAACTCCCAGGGTGATCCTCAGATCATTCACGATGGTTTGTTGAAGATGATGATGCACATGCCTTTGTCGGAGACCATGTGGTGTAATTTGTTGGTGCCTTTAATAGTGCTATGTTATAGATGTGGCGAGGGTTGTGCTGGAGGTCTTGTGGGTGGAGTATTGTTGTTATTGCTGGAGGTCTTGTGGGTGGAGTATTGTTGTTATTGCTGGAGGTGTTGTGGGTGGAGTATTGTTGTTATTGCTGGAGGTATTGTGGGTGGAGTATTGTTGTTATTGCTGGAGGTATTGTGGGTGGAGTATTGTTGTTATTGCTGGAGGTATTGTGGGTGGAGTATTGTTGTTATTGCTGGAGGTATTGTGGGTGGAGTATTGTTGTTATTTCTGAAGGTATTGTGGGTGGAGTATTGTTGTTATTGCTGGAGGTCTTGTGGGTGGAGTATTGTTGTTATTGCTGGAGGTCTTAACCCACAGTTAAGCAGCTTCATCACAATCAAGCAGTCACCACAATCAAGCACAGTCACACAATCAAGCACAGTCTTCACAATCAAGGAGCCATATAGCAATCAAACACAGTCACCACAACTGAACAGTTTCACCCCAATCAAGCAGAGTCACCACAATCAAGCAGAGTCACCAGAATGAAGCAGCCTTACCACAAGCAGAGTCATCTTAATCAAGCCTCTTCACAACACTCACACCGCGCCACAAATACATATCTTCTCTTTTCATTAAATATAGACAGGTGCTTTGCATCATCCTCCTACACCCCCTTGTCCGACTCCTCTCCTCTCCCCTTCCCTTTCCTTTCCTCCCTCTTTCCATCCCACTCCCCCTTCCCTCAGGTTCACGCCCCCATAACCCCCCCCCCCCCACCCTTTCCAGTCCTTTTCCCCTACCCTCATCTTTACTACAAGGTGAACGTACTCTTGAGTCTCTTGGTATTCTGTCTCTTGTGAGGGTCATTCTGTCCCTTGTGAGGGTCATTCTGTCCCTTGTGAGGGTCATTCTGTCTCTTGTGAGGGTCATTCTGTCTCTTGTGAGGGTCATTCTGTCTCTTGTGAGGGTCATTCTGCCCCTTGTGAGGGTCATTCTGTCCCTTGTGAGGGTCATTCTGTCTCTTGTGAGGGTCATTCTGTCTCTTGTGAGGGTCATTCTGTCTCTTGTGAGGGTCATTCTGTCTCTTGTGAGGGTCATTCTGTCTCTTGTGAGGGTCATTCTGTCCCTTGTGAGGGTCATTCTGTCCCTTGTGAGGGTCATTCTGTCTCTTGTGAGGGTCATTCTGTCCCTTGTGAGGGTCATTCTGTCCCTTGTGAGGGTCATTCTGTCTCTTGTGAAGGTTATTCTGTCCCTTGTGATGGGGGTTTGAGTCTTTTATGAGGAGTATTGTGTCTCTTGTGATGTGCATTGTCGCTTTTGTGAAGGTATTGTGTTCTTTGTGAGGGTATTGTCTTTCTTGTGAGGGGTATTAGGTCTCTGGTGAGGGGGGGGGTATTATTTCCCTTGTGAGGGGTATTTGGTCTCTTGCGAGGGGTATTGTGTCCCTTGTCATGGGTACTAGGCCACTTGTGTGTGGTATTCTGCTCTCTGTGAGGAATATTGTTCCTCTAGTGAGGTACATTTTGTTTGTTATGATGAATATATTGAAGCCCATGTGATGGGTTGTCCCTCGAGGGGGCACTGAGACCATCGTGAGGGGGCACTGAGACTCTCATGAGGGGCACTGAGACCATCGTGAGGGGGCACTGAGACTCTCATGAGGGGCACTGAGACCATCGTGAGGGGGCACTGAGACTCTCATGAGGGGCACTGAGACCATCGTGAGGGGACACTGAGACTCTCAGTAGGAGTATTGATGTGGTCAACTGATAGGGCAATGTTTCCCCCAGTGAGAGATATCTGCGGAACTGTGAGAGTTATTGCAAGTTCTTGTAAGATATTATGGATCTGTTGAGGAATATTTTGGTTCTAAGGAGGAATATTCTGTCTCTAATGAGGTGTATTGCGGTTCAAATGAGAAATGTTAAGCTCTCATGAGGACTATTGTGGCTCGAGTAAAGACTGGATGGATGTTATCCTGCAGGGAGTATGGTTCCTTTGTTGTTACACGAAGCGTTATACTGAATAATATATTGTTATATTCAGTGATATACTAAGTGATGAACTATGTGCTATGCTGTTATACCTGGTGTTATGTTGTTATACTGAGTGTATTACATTAATGTTATTTTGAATTTCAGGAGGAAGGCTGTTTTTCCCCAAGCAGCTTCGCCACACTCATGCAGCTTCACTACAATCAAGTACCTTTGTCACAATCAAAGGCTTTGAACATTTCAAGAGGAGGCTTTGCGTTTGGGTTAGTCTTTTTGTATTCTGTCATGCACTTCCCTTCCATTCCTCCTATTCCATCTCCTTTCTGCTTGTTTTACTTATGTTCCTCGTTCGGTTTTATCATCAGTTAATCCACCTCTCTTCATCTATTTTGTTGTTTTAACAACACAACACTTATGTTGTCCTTTTCTGTCGTTTATTCACCTTTCTCTCTGTTCTTCCCTCCCTCTCTTATTCCCTCCCTCTTTCTCCCTCCCTCTCTCTCCCTCCCTCTCGCCTTCACACTTGTCCATCAGAATTACGGTCATCATCCTTCCCTACATGATTGTTTTTCAATTATCACATTCTTCCTCTCCTCTCTTCTCCTTCCCCCTCTCTCTCTCTGTATATCTGACTTCATGTATCTCTCTCTCTCTCTCTCTCTCTCTCTGATTTTTTTTTCATTCACTTTACTCTCTTCATCCCCACTTATTCCTGAACCTTTTCCATTTTCATTTTGTATGCTTCCTCCAGCTCTCTCCTTTCCTTTCTCCACCTTGACCTTATATTCCAACTCCTGTCTTCTTCGTTCTCTTCTCCTTCCTGTCTCTTCTAGTTCGCTTTACTACTGCTTCTCTCTTCTTCCTTCCTCTTTCTTACTCCCTACCTCTCCTGTTCCTGATTAGATTTTATACTTCCATCCTTGCTATCATATTTACCACACCCCATCACTCCATTCTACATCCCATTCCACACATCTAATCTTCCGCTATCTCTCTTCCCTCCTTTTCGTCTTTCCCCTAGCCACAAGTCTCCCTTTTCATCTTTCCTTTCTGTCAATCTCACGCCATCTCTGTCCTATGCCTTATAGTTCCTTCTCTTACACCTTTCTCAACAGGTCTTCTTTTACACCTTCTCATTCTTCTTCATCTCTAAAAGTCTGTTTTCATTCTTTGTCTCTACTGCACCTTCCTCTCTTCCGGTTCTCCTCTCTTTCCTGAAGTTCCTCCCCCCCCCTTTTCCTTCTCAAGTTTTCATCCCCCCCTTCCACAAGCTTTCAACTCCCTCCTAAAGTTCTTTGATCCCCCTGTTCTCAAGTTCCCCTTTTTCTCAAGTTTCTACCCACCTCCTATAGTTCCTCATGCCATTCTTAAGTTCCCTTCCTCAAGTTCTTCTCTTCCTCGAGATCCCCCACATTAAATTCTCCACCCCCTCCTGAAGTTCTATTCTTTCTTCTCCTCAAGTTCACCTACTCTTCCTCCTCATCAAATTACCTTTCCCCTACCCTTCCTTAAGTTCCCCATGTCTCCTCAAACTCCCATTCCACCTCTTTCCTCTCATTGGCTCCCCTCCCTCCATTCTAGACGCGTACCCCGGACCACACAGGACAACGGCTAGGTCGAAACTGCTGGTGAAGAATTCCGGGATGAGTAACTCCCCCTCTTTTGATGTTTTCTTCAAGTTCTTGAGGAGGTTTGCTTGCTTGCCTGCCTGCCTACCTGCCTGCCTTCCTGCCTGCCTGCCTGCCTGCCTACCTGCCTGCCTTCCTGCCTGCCTGCCTGCCTGCCTACCTACCTGCCTGCCTGCCTGCCTGCCTGCCTGCATCCACTACCACCATTCTCTGTTTACATTGTGGTCCACCTGTCCGGGAGTTTTTATTGCTAGAGTGAGTCTTGCGTGTGAGTTCGGTGTTTGTGTCCTGCATTTGAATCTTGCGTGCTTCTTGAGGACAAGTCCTGCGAATGATTTGATCCTTGATTTGCTTCTCGGTTTTGATGTCCTGCGTATGTCTTGAATGTAATTGCTACGTCTGTGTCCTTTGTGGGTCCTGCAGGATGAGTGCAGTCCTTGATGTAACCAGCATGTTAGTCCTGCTGGTAAGCTTAAAATGCAAGCGGCTTAGGGAGGATTAGCAGGCTACGATGGGAGGAATAAGGGTCGAATAGTCCGGCTTGGCAATCTATCGCAACCAGTTCTTAAATTCATTAATATTTTTATCGGGAGAATCCTACCAACAGGATGATGATTTGTCCTAAATATTATAAATATATCGAGTATATATACACACAGTATTTATACATGTATACAGGCGTATGCAATAGTATATCTATCCCATTAGCATCGTTAGCTGGTCTCCTATAAGCTAAGTTAGATGGTAGCCTCGTTACCAGGTCTCTCTGTAACCTCGTTAGCTGAGCTCTTTATAGATTTAGGTAGCTGGCATTCCTGTTGGTTCGTCTGTTGGTCTCTTTGTTGCCTCGTTAACAGCATCACGTGAGAGAACACAGTACCTCATTATCTCTCAACCTCTCTACATCTCCATAAGATCTCTCCCGCGAACTAACATGGTTACCACAGTGTCTCCCTCCACAGCTGGTCCTCCATATGCTGGCGATATACTTCTCAAGTATATCCCCAAGCTCTCATGTCAATAATTTCTAAATCATAGCAACATCGTCGCATAAAAAATATCAAATACGTCCCAAAATACCCACAGTGAAGGACGCTAAACTCACTTAACTTCAATATCGTCACTGAAAAGAAATCAATTCCTTCCAGTGTCTTCTAAAATACAAACAAAATTTATCCAACTACTTGGATAGGTCAATGCCGCAACGACCTTGATTTCATGCAGGTCGGCATTCGATCCCCGATGGTCCAAGTGGTTGAGCACCACCTGTTCAATCGTCCGTTCTATTCCTGATTCTTGTTCTACATGCTCCTTGCAAGAACTGCATAGTCATGCTGACTTAGCATGTTTCCTGATAATTATCAAGTCTAACACGACGATTTGTCCTCCTGGATAGATAGCGTTTCTCAAGATCATCTCAAGAGTATCTCTAAGAGTATCTCTTAAGAGGAGATTCGTAATGTCCTGTTCGTATCTGTTGTGCACATGTCCTGTGCGTATGACCCTCGTGCTGGTATATTAAATGCGAATTCCCTTAAGTTATGACCCAAACTCGATGTCTGTGTCGCGTTGCTTTTCATTGCTTGTAAGTGCCGAGGTAATGACTCTTAGGTTTTGGTGTTATTGCCTATATAAAAGTTCCTTAAGACGATGTGAGATGATGGAAAGGTTTGTGAACTTACCTAGTTGTGCTTGCGGGGGTTGAGCTCTGGCTCTTTGGTCCCACCTCTCAACTGTCAATCAACTAATGTACAGGTTCCTGAGCCTACTGGGCTATATCATATCTTCACTTGAAGCTGTGTATTGAGTCAGCCTCCACCACATCACTTCCTATGTGTGTGTACTCACCTAGTTGTACTCACCTAGTTGTGTCTGCAGGATCGAGCATTGACTCTTGGATCCCGCCTTTCGAGCATCGGTTGTTTACAGCAATGACTCCTGTCCTATTTCCCTATCATACCTGGTTTTAAAATTATGAATAGTATTTGCTTCCACAACCTGTTCCTGAAGTGCATTCCATTTCCCCACTACTCTCACGCTAAAAGAAAACTTCCTAACATCTCTGTGACTCATCTGAGTTTCAAGCTTCCATCCATGTCCTCTCGTTCTGTTACTATTCCGTGTGAACATTTCGTCTATGTCCACTCTGTCAATTCCTCTGAGTATCTTATACGTTCCTATCATGTCCCCCCTCTCCCTTCTTCTTTCTAGTGTCGTAAGGCACAATTCCCTCAGGCGCTCTTCATACCCCATCCCTCGTAGCTCTGGGACGAGTCTCGTTGCAAACCTCTGAACCTTTTCCAGTTTCATTATATGTTTCTTCAGATGGGGACTCCATGATGAGGCGGCATACTCTAAGACTGGCCTTACGTAGGCAGTGTAAAGCGCCCTAAATGCCTCCTTACTTAGGTTTCTGAATGATGTTCTAACTTTTGCCAGTGTAGAGTACGCTGCTGTCGTTATCCTATTAATATGTGCCTCAGGAGATAGATTAGGTGTTACGTCCACCCCCAGGTCTCTTTCACGCGTCGTTACAGGTAGGCTGTTCCCCTTCATTGTGTACTGTCCCTTTGGTCTCCTATCTCCTAGTCCCATTTCCATAACTTTACATTTGCTCGTGTTGAATTCTAGTAGCCATTTCTCTGACCATCTCTGCAATCTGTTCAGGTCCTCTTGGAGGATCCTGC